TATCTATCTATCTATCTATCTATCTATCTATCTATCTATCTATCTATCTATCTATCTATCTATCTATCTATCTATCTATCTATCTAAACCCATCTCAGTGTCCACATATTTGGCCTGTGCAGCCACACAGATGTTCCACAGCTGTGGACGGGGACAGACCTCATGTAGAAAGGCCTCCATCTTCTGTGGGGTTGTGCAGCTAAGCTAGCGGCTAGCTAAGATAGCCGGTAGCTAAGCTAGCCGGTAGCTAAGATAGCCGTAATCTAAGATAGCCAATAGCTAAGCTAGCCACTAGCTAAGATAACCCATAGCTAAGATAACCGATAGCTAAGCAAACCAATAGCTAAGCTAGCCGTTGGCTAAACTATCCGTTAGCTAAGCCAACCGTTAGCTAAGATAGCCGCTATCTAGGATAACCGATAGCTAAGCAAGCCAATAGCTAAGCTAGCCGCTAGTTAAGCAAGCCGTTAGCTAAACTAGCCGTTAGCTAAGATAGCCTATAGCTAAGATAGCCGTTAGCTAAGATAGCCGCTATTTAAGATAACCGATAGCTAAGCAGGCCGTTAGCTAAGCTAGCCATTAGCTAAACTAGCCGCTAGCTAACATAACCGCTAGCTAAGCAAGCTGATAGCTAAGCAAGCCGCTGGCTAAGCAAGCCGATAGCTAAGCTAGCCGTTAGCTAAGCTAGCAGCTAGCTAAGCTAACTCAGAGGTCATCGCTTTGCCATCAGGCTGGTTGCTGCTCTCAGGAAACATAGAGACAATCTGCTGTTGTTCTCTGAAGCTAAAATCAAATCCCAGCTCCTGAAAGGAAATTTGATAAATAAAAGTGTGTAATGTTGGTTTTGTTTTGTCTCCGTCACTGAAAACAGACCAGAGCTGTTGAAAACCTCTGAAGGATGCTGCTTCCTCTCGGTGTCTTTTGCTCATTCATATTCAGCATTTCTTTGGGTCCCTTTCGTGCTAAATCAGGATTTGTTTGTTTGGATATCAGGTATTTGGGACATTTTGAGATATATGATTAGTTTTAACCAACATCAGAGGATGAAATCAAACATCTAATGAGCATCGGAGCCCAAATAGAGATTTATTTGTGGTCAAGGAAGGTGTTAAGTGTTCCACTGTGCTGATTTATTTAGATATTTTACCATCTTTAAGAGCACTTTTCCTTGTTTTTCCGCTTGAATATTCAGTTTTCTCTGCTCAGGCATGAAAATGATGAGCTCATCCATCTTCTCATCTTCTCTTGTGGGAAAAAGTTGATTAAAGACGAGTAAAAGTCTTCAGGTTTTAAGCTTGTGTTTAATGTTTTTATCGAAGTCAGAAATATGAGCAGAAAAACGGGAAATTGTCATTAAGTTGCATAAATGTGTTTTTTTTTTATGCTCCGTAATGTGAGATCCTGACAGATTCTGCAGCTTTTCTCTGCATGTAGCCTTTGGGATCATGTTTTTCTATTAAAAAAAGGAAAAAAGGAGCATCTGAGGTCATTTTTTAACTCATTTTACTCTTTTTCTGTCCATCAGATGACATTCAGAACTACGTTTTCCTCAGATGGGGTCACTCAAAGGGCTTTTGCACTTCATGGTTTGAGGCTTTTTTTGGTAGATGAGTGCAGATTGGGAGGATTGATGTTTTTTATTGGCTTATTTTCCACGAGGAACTCCATCCAAACTGTGCTTCAGGCTTTCTAAACCTCCAAATTCATCGTTTTCCCGATGCTCTTCGAGCTGTTTCTCGTTTTGCAGAAAATCGAACCCACTTGTGAACGTTTGCCCTGGCTTTATTCAGCCATTTGCTCCGTTTCACTCCGTTTTTTTTTGTTTCGATGAGTCCTCGGTAAAGTTTCTGCTCTCCTCCGAGGTCGAGAGATTCGTTTGAGATGAGATGGGAGTGAACGCTCTTTTTTCTGCCTTCAGGCTCCGGTGATTACAGAGTGTGAGCATGCAGCACTTTGTTTGTGTCACGCTGTG